CTATATCCTATAAATACCCTATCTTTATAACTACTTTTTACTATTCTTATTATTATTCTTATTAGAATTCTCTTAAGAAATAAATAGTAAATTAGCCTATAAAGCTATTAGCTATTAGTAAGAAATAAAAAAGAAGTAAACTTACTTAATATCGAAAAATATTAATTATATTATTAAGAGTACTTTATATTTATACTAAGCTAGTAAGAATTACTTAATTTATTTTTTGAATTATTAGAGGAATTTTTTAGCCTCAAATAATAGCTTTAATATAAGAAGTATATATAGTTTAGTATAGAAGAAAAGTAATAATAGCTTTCTTTCTTTTAGGTAAAGAATAAAAAAGATACTTATATATATTAATAGCTTAAAGAAGGTAGTTTAATTATATTATATATATTTAAGAAATCTTAAATAGTATTAGAATAAGGAATAAATAAAGGAATTTATAACTTATAGAATTATATTTCTTATTCTTAGAATAGTAATAATTATATACCAAATAATTATTACTTTTAATATAAGTAAGGTTAGGAAACTTAGTAATATTTTTGGAATATTAAAAATAGTAAAAGCGAATTAAAAATATAAAAATATTAGTTAAATAGATAATAATAATAGGCTAATAAGTACTAAGAGAAGTATTTATCTTAATAAATAAAGAAATAGAAAAGGGAATTAGAAGAGAACTTGAATAAAGCTTAAATAAAGCTTAAATAAAGCTTAAAGAAGCTTAAAGAAGCTTAAAGAAGGCTTAAAGAAGGAAGGCAAGAAATAAGAAAAAGCTAGATATAGTATTATAGTTAAGGAAATAGAAGGTTAGTTAGTAGAAAAAGAGAAATCTTTTTATAATACTTTTTCTCCGAATAATAATTATAAATTCGGAACTAACTCTATACTAGAAATATCCAGAAAATTTTAAAGAAGGGATTTATAAATAAACTAGAAAATTAGATTAATTTTTCTAAACTTTTAGGCCTATAGAGTAATAATTTATTTGCGAATAAAGACTAAGTTAGAATTTACGAACTAATTAGAAGACCAGAAAAGCTTTATATCTAATAATATATACTATATCTATACTATCTTTATAAGGGGAAATTACTAGAGGCAATTTGCAAGTTAACTAGACAGGGTTAGTAAATTGTATTCTTAATTCTATTATCTAGTATAATAATAGGGTAATTATAGGGAGTTTTTAGGGAGGACTAGCGGCCGGAAAAGTTTCAGGGGATTATTTGTAAAGCTATTCGCAGTTTTCTCAGGCCTCTTAGAGATAAGGGCCTAAAGAGAGGGTTAATATAATAGGTATATATAATGGCGTATGAATAGGTATTAGATATTATGAATCTAGTTTCCTATTTTGGGTAAAGCTTGTAATCGGAATTATACGGGCGATCGGAATCGTACGGATTGCATGGGATCGTATTTCCTAGTTAAGTAAAGTGCTTCGCAAGCTTGGCTAAGTACTAGGGAATATATAGGGAGACGCTTCTAGCTTTGGAAAGGGGCATTAATTAGTCTTTTGTTAGAATCAATTCTTGGAATCAGTTACACTTGCAAGCGTCACTCTGCAGCTTACTTACCTTAACTACTTGTGCATCACCCTGCTATTAAGTGCCTCACACGTAACTAGTCGCGCACGTGATACACAACTATAATAATTAGTTATTTAATAATTTTTATAAAAAAATGAATTTTTATTCTTTTATATAATAATTACAATTAATTATAGTTAATTATAAATCTAATCAAATCAAGTCAAGTCAAAATCCTACTAATCAAATTATAATTAATTCTAATTAATTAGCTTTTGATTATTTTTTGACACCCTGGCACTATTTGTTTGGTACGGCGGTGAGTCTAGTCAAGAGAAAAGACTCGCGAAGGAGGACGCGATGTTTAAGATAATGGGACCAATTACGTGTCTTTTAATAGCAAGGCCGGGGACTAGTGACTCGTTTACTCGTTAGAACTGCGCTAAGCACTCCGCGTTTCAGCTTAATTTTGACTCTGGCCAGCTCCCGAAATCCAAGTGTTGGACTTCATTTTATAAAACAAACCTTTGACTGTAGATCGCTGTCAATGGCATTAAAAGACAAGGTATGATCTCCTCTCCATGTGACTTGCATGGATAGATATCGTTGTACTTCCCAAGCATGTCAACCGACCATTCAAGCCTACTCCCAGCCTCTTGAGATGTGACCAAAACTTCAACTCGATAAGCAATCTGACAAAATGGTTGTTCAGAATTTTCCATGTTCGTTTCATGAACTCTGTTTAGCCAAGGTCAAGTGCCACCAACTGACAGGACTAATGCAACTATATCGTCCGCACTCGAACTTCGTCTCCAATCAAGTATCTAGTTTGCCCAGGTACTAATTGGGTATCTGGCCTTCCCAAAGTTGTTCTGATAACACGCTCGACCTCTTGTCATATGCTCTTCCTTGTACCATTTGATAATATAGGAAGTCGGGAAGAAACAAGGGTTTAAAGAGTGGGCATTGACCGAGTAGGGCCGCGCAATGAGCCTTTCGTGGCTTGCCTGGGGTTGGTTGCACGACAGGATGAACAAACTCAATTTAGCAAAATTCAAGAAAATGGTGTGAGCTCCAGCCAGTAATAAAGTCGAGAATATATGAAATGCATTGGTGCAGCGATAAAGGCTATCGCCTCCAATGAGAAGTCCGGGAAAACACGAAATGCATCAACGCAGCAATATTTCTTGCAGGAAATGGGCTCACTGGTGTGTATGCCGCCAAATGAAGGTCCAAGGAAGACACGTAATGCATGCATGAGGCAATATTGTGTGCAGGAATGGTGTGCATATCGGCCAATCCAAAATTCGGGAATGCGCGAAATGCATCGAGTGGGTCAGCAGGACTCCTTTCTCGTTTTTCTTTTTTTGATAAGGCGGATTCGGAGTTGGCTATCTCTTCAAGTATCACTCATGTCGACGTAGTGTGGTAACTGAAACGGGAATCCAGGACCGATGGAGCCACTTACAGTCTATATTTTCCAACTCCAATGTCTTAATGTGGCACACTTCCTTGACAGCTTCCACAAGCCGCCAATACGTGGACTTCATACGGCAGAACCCAACAAGAAGAAATGATATGTGTCATTCGGGTCCGGGTCTGCATGATTTCTGTGTATCTTGCAGTGTGTAGCAGGCGTTTCGTCCTTATAAACGCCAGTCTCTCGCTCCCATCTCTATCTCAAGGTTCTACTCCTCAAGGGACTCCTCGACTCGCTAGCACTTCTCGTCCATTTTGACTTGATTAGTTCGTCTTCGTTTCTCTCTGAGTATATAATTTTGTTCACTTGCTCTCAATACCTCTATCCTCCAGTGCTGAGGCGTCTGGAACCAAAATTTCACCAGGAGTCATAATATGGCCATGTTTTGCGCCGCAGTCAGGGGTTGGAATGCGATTATGCAGGAGGAAGAGAGCCACGATGCTTCTGAGGTAAAACCAAGTCCAAAGGACCCATGTAAGCACAGATTCTACTTCAGATCAATCTGGTATTAAAAGTTTCCAGATTTTGGAAAATAGGGCAAGCTAGTGGCCGGGGATTTTGATTTTTGCAAGATGATACTATAGGGAATCTGGTATTTTAACATTGATTGTCTGGAGAATCAAGGCACGGACCGAGAGACCAGTGTGAAAAATGCGGGTTTGAAGTTATACGAAAAGGTCTCAGAACGACGTATCTTCCTGGCCATGTGAAATTGTCAGACATAATGGTGATGGTTAGGCAAGCAGCTGCCAAGATGTCCAGCATGTTTTCTAGGCCGCAAAATTGTTCGTCTGCTAAGCCTGGGTTTCATGATCAGACAAATATCATTCTACCCAAACTCGGAAATCCACTCACCAGGGTTATGAGTCAGCGCCAGCCTCGGCTCGACCAAGCGATCCAAGTGCCTGAAGACCTCACCAAGACTCTCCGCTTCAACAACACTAGCCCTGTTTGTCGGGGGCTCGCAGATCAGTAGCCTGATCGGTGATAGAAGCCATGATTTGTCCTCATCACGCTCTAGGCTCCCGCGCCTTCGCACAGGGTAGGCCCGAGCTTGTCGTGTACCACTTCAAAACTTGCGGTTTATCGGGGCTTCGGGGTTGGAAAAGTTGTCATGTGATCAGCCGTCTGGAAATGTTTTGTCAGCACTTTGCATAATTCGTACCAACTTATAACTTATCTCATTGGTCTTACCATCCACACCATCCTACAGCCTTGCATTCAGTGCCGCACATAAGCGCCAGGAGTTAGCGTGCCTCGCCGCTTACGCCGTGGTGTCGCGGCAGCTGAACTTCCCCTGTTGAAGCGAGGTGGCTGAGCATCCACAACCAACCAACCCCAAAACACCCCGCTTCTCGCGCTTCAAAGAGTGCCTCACGGATGCCTATACGAGCAGCGGCTCCAATGACCGGTCTTCAAGCTCCAAGGCAGACGCGGCTGAAGATAATGAAACGCGAGGGATCGGAGGAGTCGACATGCAGAGATCCTGGTTCAAGCGCGGGAAAGTATGATGTTGGCTGAGGAGGCGAAACGCGGTAAGCAGTCCCCGGGAATCCTTCCTGATAACGGATCCGGTATTCGAGGCAGCGATTCCTATTTGATATTCAAGCTTTTGATCTGCAATTGCTTGCGTGTCTGTTACTCGGTGAGATTGGATGTTGTTTTCACAGGGAATTGAGTTTGTGTCCCCATGGCTGAAACATTCGTCGTGTACCGTCTTTGCTGGCTGTTAATGGGTATATAAGTGAGAGCTACATTCCCTCTTCCTGTGCATCTTGAAACATCGAAGTATCCAGAGATATCTCATCTGCGATTCTACAAAGTTATCCTCCTATACAAACTTTTCCTTTGCATAGGTGTAGTTTTGCTCACGTTCGCCATGCCAACCTCTATTTTCTCCTACACTTCGTCTCAAGGAGAAGGGAGTGATCAACCAGATACACAACCGCAGGACCCCTGTGGGTAATCATCCAAAGATCCACGGTTGTAACTGACTTTTCACAGTTTATGGACAATGACTCTTGGATCCCTGCATTCCTCAACTCTGAGAGGTATTGAAACGGTGTTATGGCGTTCTGGATTTTGGTCTTCTTTGTATGTGTATTAGGGAGTGGTGTTGTAGGTTAGGAACAGAGAGCAGGGAGGTCATCAATTATCAATCAAATATTGCATTCAATTATTCCCTCAAAGGTTCCAAAGAATGACTAGCCGCCTTCAACAATTTCTGCAGACTACAGAAAGACTCATCAGCTCTTCAGAAATCAGATCAATGCTCATCAAAATTCACCGTAGTCTTCAATGCCACGGCATTTCCAAGGGTGATTCCGGCGCCGGAGGAGAAGGGGAAGTGCATACCGCCAAACACACGACTGTCCCCATTCTCAATGGCCGCTTCTGTCAAACTCGTATAAGTCCTGGTGATGACTCCACGATTGTTAAGCGTGACGTTGGAGCTGACAGTCACAGAAACATCGTCACTTCCATTGTTGTAAGCCCTAATGACATCTCACGGCCTGGACAAGCTGTGGAAGTGGAATGTGGTGTGTATTGTGTAAATATGTAAGAATGATTGTGCCTTAAGGGCGGTGAAGAAGCTATATACGTGCCTGTACGTAGCACGTGACATGACAGCACTCCCAGCACCGCTAAAGGTTGCATGGGTGGAAGGGTAATCTGGATGACTAGGTGTTGGAGACAACAAAGGGGCCCAGGCTGGGTCGGAAACATTCAACCCAGCTGAAAGCCAGATGTCTGTTCGTTGGATTGTTGTGACTGGGCGCCAGTTTAAGCTTTGAAACTTGACGTGCCATGCTACTATTCCTCCATTTGCGAGTGCGAAATTGAGCTGTGCGAAGAATTTCGTTGAAGCTAAGACGTTGGTTGCGAGGGTTTCGCCGATTACTGCTCCTGCCATTCTGTTCCAAACACGGTTTAACTCATGAGTCTGCATTTACACCTTCTATTCTATTTCAGATTTCGGAGGATTTCGGTCTGAACGTACGTAGGACTACTTTCCCGCCAGAAATAAGCAGTATCAGAATCATGTGACTTCCTGACTGTCGAGTTTGCTTCTCCTTCATCCTTCCCATAGAGCAGGTAGCCCTGGTAACCTGCCTTCGCGGGATCTGGAGGCGGAGAGAGAGAAAACTGGGTTACGTCGCCGACGGAAGCGAAGAGTTTCACAAATTGTGCTTGTGGAGTATCGGGTAATGGACTTCCTCCCGGTGTTGCCTGATAAACTCCTGTATTTAGAGGACCGTAAACGTAATCGACAAAATAATTAATCCCGTAATCGGCCATCCTTGAGATCGCGAATCTGGCAGCCTCTCTTTCCCAATCTTTACAGCTGCTTTACCTTCGTCAGAAGTCGGATCATGACCAATTAAGGAGAGGATGGATTTGAGTGACTTGTCGGTAGAAGCATAGTTTCGTGTTCCATGGAAGACCCTTGCGAGGGTGTTGTGTGCGGCGTGAGATACGGCGAGTTGCTGGAAAGCGAGGGATCCGTGGTTGGATTTAAGTGCAGCGAGGTACTGTGCTCCTTGTACGATGGCTGGCGTCCAAGTTGATGGTGGGGATTGGAGGCCCCCAATTATGGAACCGTTGATGATGATGGCGGTCTAGTCGACCCCGGGGTCTTTATAAGCAATAATAAATAGAAGGGAGGGGAGTAAAAATACCAGTATTGACAATATCGCCAGAGTATGCTGCGTTTGTGACAGCTCCACTGAATATAATTATTAACAATATTGAGAATCTCATCATGAACAACAGGACATATTTACTCATTCCCTAGTATGATAAATATCTGATCAAATTGATCTCATGCGAGCTTTACTCGACTTTAATCCGAAGGAACTTAAAATCGCTCCAACCCACTGAGAATCGCGCGAAGCTGCTAAGGAAGCTTGATTCGCGCCCCCTTTCACCCTGGGTTAAGTGTGCCACTCCCGGGGTTGGAACACTAAAATTCTCGGCAACGCGCGCCGTTCGCATGCGCCGCTAGCCGCTGCCCCTCCCTTCCCCTTTTCTATCTCGCTTATTTTGCTTATGCAGGGGTTCACCAAAAACATCCATCTACAAGTTTCGAAGACTTCTAGCCTACATAAAATGTCATACTACAACCTAAATAGGGACTGGCTATAGAATTTTGTCCAGCATGAAAATCAGGTGCCAACAATCTCGACGCGATAGGTAGGGTGAATATCACTGAAGGCAAGATGGCCTTTTCTTCCTCCTAGAAATTGTCAGAGAGTCTAAACAAATCGCAGGCCGTGGAATTGAAATTTTAAATCAGCCCTATTATCTGCGATTGGTACTTCTACTTCCATCCTTCATTGAAATTTTATTATGGGATCGTCTATGCTACGCACGCAACGATCCTCAGCTAACCTGCGACGACTACGAAGGCGACGGGCATTGAAAATCGTCCATCTACAGAGTGCGCGCAAGAACACCAAAATTGCCTTGTGCGGAAAGTCGCACTAATCCCTAACGCAACTCCTAAAACTTTCCATAAGAGTGTTATATAATAGAAAAATAGCACATTAATCTTTTCCAAGATTTTTATAACGATTAATTTTAGGGAGAAATTGCGAGACATTTATAACCGCATAGCCCCTAGACTTCCCAAATCCTCGCTTAGCGAGTTGAACTGATTTTAATGCCCGCCGCCTTCGTAGACTCAAAAACACGCCCTCTAAAGTCAAAATCGCTTCCCGACTACAGTACTTCGCCGCGGAAGACTTCATACTAAGCAGTCCTTTCCCCGGCTACACCTAAATAGCAGACTCTACCCCGATTCCCAGACTCTGCAGAGACCAAAGATAGAACGGATGTATGCTGTACTTATTCGTTGCAGTACAGGGACACCCCCAAGCAGTCGAGAGCTCGCACGAATCAGTGACACCAGGGAGTACACAAAGCAGCCCAAACTTGAGCCTAATATCTGTACAGGTGTCGGGACAACACGGTGTCGGCACATGCAACGCACACGCCCGATCCCATACCCGTAGCAAAAATACTCTACAGTTTCCGAAGTCATTATCACAGTCACGGTCTTGTATCCAGGCGTGTAATTGTCTTGGAAAGTGCGGTGGTGGTTGCGATTACGAAGTCGAAATCGAGAGCGGTGCTGGAAGAGAGAATTACAGTCGCGGCGGGTGGGCGATGGAGGAGCAGGCTAGGGACAAGGCTGAGCTTGGGCGGCTTGTAAGAGATGTCGGGGAAGCGGGAAGGGGATGGCTCCTTTTGGGAGATTGAAGCACGCTAAAACCCTGTGCGCGCTTCTTGTCATGAAACTTCCGCCAAATATTAGGAATCTACGAGCAGTGAGCGATTAGCTATCTGGCTTGCGATGAACTGACTTACACTGAACTGCTTGTTACGTCGTTCTCAGTCATTAACCCGAAAGCTGCTAGCAGGCCTTTAACTTCGATAAAGAAAGAAGAGTATATGTCATAGGGGAGAGAACGGGTAGGTTATTGCAAAAAGAATTGTAACATAGCTCGTGTCAAAGATGAAGGTATCTGTCTCCATGCATTTTGAAACGGTCTTTTGCATAATTTTTGTCAGAGCCGTGGGCGTCAGAGTCATTGCGACAGTTGGTAGCGGCTGAGTAGTGGAGGTAGCTAATGCAAAACCGTGGAGCACTGTCGGGGGCGCCTTTTGAAAAAGCTTTGGATGTTCGAGGGTGCACATATTTTGGGTGGGCCTGCTGTTGCGAACTGGTTCAGCAGCATGACGAAAGTATGTGATTGTAGAAGGCACAAGAGAAAGACAAGTGATGTCATCGTTGCAATTCAACAAGTGTAATAAATTGGGATTAATTCATGACAGAGTATCGTGGGTGGTTCAATCCTGGCGCCAAATTTTTCAAACAAGGTTACAAGAGCCAGGAGAAACGTAAAGATGGGGCCCCACCCACTTAGTTGTCTCCTTTTTTCCTCTTTCTCCACTGCCTGTGCAGGCATGGACATAAATCTTTCCGTAGCGATAATAGTGATAAATGCATGAAGTACTTCGTGACCTAATCCTCAAACTCATCGCGGCTGCGCCTTTCTGGTGAAGCATGATGTTCGCCAGTTCTTGGAAGCCTTACTTGTGCCAAGCGAAGACGGAACCAATTGATTGGATATAGGTTATCTATTTTGGAGCAGCTGAAGGACTTCGTCGCTTGGCATATTAAGTCACCGGCAGGTGGACGGAAGCTGAAAGCTTGAAAGGGGCAGCGAGGGCAAAATAAATTGGGACAAAACCAATTGCACGATTCTGAGACGCGAGGTTACTTGGATGGATCTTTATAATTTGGGGTACATAGATGATCGCTAAGCAAGGAGAATGCTCAGACTTCTGAAGTGGCCTTGAGAGCAGGGCAGGAAGGTCACTTTCGAATGAACGGCGTCTTTTCTATATTCTTCATCACGGAATAAAAATAACAGGAATGCAGCCCTCTCCCCGAAATTCCTAGTAACTTTAAGCGAAACTAACCAAAGCTTAGCGAGACCGCCCCAAAAGAAAGGGGAGCTACCCTAGGAGAAGTTAAAACCGCGTAGTTGATGCCACTTCATGCTATTATCCCTACCTCATTTGTCTATCCTACTATCCTCAATGCAACATCTCGAAGACTTCATGGAAAACCACCTGCACGTGACAGCAAGCTAAAAAGCTTCCTTCTCAGCCTCAGCAGCCGCCACTTGCACCGCCAACGGAAATTGCCACTTCAAGCCAATCATCAGCCCAACGCTCCTTCTTCAACAATTTCGGAGATGAGAAGCTCCAAACCTTGGTTCAGCCTTATGGATACTCCTTTTCTATACGCCAGGAAGCATTTCGGCATGTCTTTGAATAGTAGTACAGCCTCCACAGTTTCGGAGCTCTCTTTTAGCTGTCTTGAAATGAACATCACTACAATCCATCACTCTGTTGATAAATACCACCTTTGCTCCTCAGGGAGAGTGATAAAACACAGCCTTCTACATTTACTCACTTTGACAATTGTGATATCTCTGCGATCCTAGCAACTATCTCCAAAACTGTCGTACATCTTACTCCAGGCGCCAAAATGCTTCAAAACATCGTAACCTTGCTTTCAATAGTCGCTACTCTCCCCTTGTTTGGATATTCCACGCCTGTGAGCCATAATGGCACAAGTATGCTAAAGAACTCTTCCTAGCCTAGCCATTGCCAACATCTATTACAGTTCCCACTACCAACGAAACGGCGCCATATATTGCACCTCACAGGACGCCAGCGCCCCCACCCATTGCTGTTCCCACTTCTAACGTAACATTGCAATACGTCCCACCTCCCACAAACCCTCTCCCTCCAAGGTTCGCACCTTTAAATCCACGAAGCGGCGGCGGAACCAAACCAGTCGTCGGTACACCTACTACTACACATCCGAACTGTGCAACAACAACGGCTGCCGCGTCTCCAGCGACGGCTATATGCAAGTCATCCAGCTCGACGGCGACGGCTTCACACTGGGCGGCACTGCCCAAGTGGGCAGATTCCGGACTTCGGACTCGTCGATCATCTGGGGTGCATATATTATTGCGAGACAGAACAATGGCTTTCGAGATGGGAGTTGGGGCGCAAAGACGGATTGCTTCTTCGAGCCGGGTCCGTATCCCCCGATACGGGCGTTCATTGCGGGTCATGATAATGAGAAGGGGGTTTGGTCGGACTCGACTGATATTGGGAACGTGGGGTGCTCGTTGGTGTGATGAAATGACTTGTTCAATAGACAATGTTTTTGAGTTTGTCAGTATTGTTGTTGGCTTTTTATCATTATGTAACCGCAGCTTTACATTCTGGTCTGAGGGTGGGAATATGAGAGGAGAATCCGAGAATACAGCGAGCGCGAAGTAGATAGGAAATCTCTCCTCTTTTCTAAGCTGGGAGAATGTAGGAAACGGAATAAATCTTGAAGACCAATTTCATGAAGAAGACAGAAGCCCCCGAACAGTGAAGTGCATGAAAGAACATGGCTCACTCGCAAAGACCTCCACTTCTAGCTCCCTTAATCTCAAAGTCAAGAGCAGATCTCCCCAGTTCCCAACCAACAAGTAATCTTGGGCCTTCTCATGCAATTCCTCGCTGCTTCATTACGGCTAACAATCCGGTCTGAGTCACTCGCTTTACAAGAATACGTCCCCTACACACACACATTCTGCGCACACTTCTCCACACCAGTACAATATTTCCCATCATCGCAATCCGCATCAGAAGCATAATACACCACCGGTTTACTCGGCAAAAACATATCCGCCTGCGCATCCTGCTGCAACAAACTCACGAAATTCTTCTTCATGACGAAATTGCGATCTCCTTTTGCATCCAGATTGAGAGCTTTGGCGATAGCGGCGGTTAATTTTGTTCTTCAGCTGGGCGGACTTCCTATCCACACATTTCAACTTCGATGCAACAGCCTCTTTAGCCAGACACGGGCGGATGTCATTCAAGACCGCCGAGGGCAAGACGAAACTGTGTCCTGAGCCCCTGAGTATGACGCCGAGTTAGCTAGAGCCTAGAGCCAATCCTAAGCCTGAATAAGGATTCTTTTCCGGCCCCCTAAGAATTGGGCATTGGCTTTGCGTCTGTTTCTAATAAAAAAAAATAAAAAAATAAAAAATGCAGATACTTAATTTTGAAATATAAATACTTCCATAAACCCATTGAGATATTATAATAATATCTATTCTAGCTCTCTAATCTTATTTATTAAAACTCTTTACTAAGATAATTCAAATTATATATTAAAATAAAACTAATTATTATTATAAGCTAGTATAAGAATAAAAAGTATATCTTATTTTATACTAATAATAATATAAATTATAGTGCAAAAAGCAGTATAGTTACCCGAATACTTCTCTTAATTAGGAAATCAATCTATTCTTAATAGTAAGTGTGTTGTGACGTCAGTGTCACATGACCTGGCCCTAGCGTGGCACCCTGTACTTAGCTCGAGCTCCCCGCTCTCTTCTCTCTTTAGACGTTACATACACACCCAAAAAGAGCTGTTTACCAGACCAGGTCTTCAGCCCAGGGACGTGATAAAGTGCCAGGTCATGTGTTACTTGACCTTGTCCAGCCTAATATTCCTGTGACGGCGGGATCAAGGCAATGGTCAAAGGCTCAAAGTTCCGAGAATCCCATGTATTGAGAGTACTAAGCTTAAGAGAAGAAGAAGGGAGATACTAGCTAAAACCACTGAAACGCCGGCTGACCAGGTGAAACCAGTAATGTGACCGCCACCCCCAATTCACCCTAGCCAGCGCCATTACAATGCCCAGGGGTAACCTGGCCTAGGGGAACTAGGGGAACTACAGCATGCGTCCTTGGAGGGCAAATCAATCTCGCAATGCTTGCTCATGTTAGTTCAAGCGTATGCTCAAACCTTACATACGAATGCTCACCTTTGGTTTTAGTAAATGAAGCACCTGCTGATATGTCAAGCGCCACCCGCCTTTGTAGCTACATATTCTGAAGCATTTTTTCTTGGCTACAAGTCTTGCCTGAGTCGAGGTCAGGCTCGGCAAAAATACCTGAGGCATCGATACCGGTATCGATAGTATTAGGTATTTTTCAGGTATCGTAAGAATTAATACGTATTAATACCTTATCGATTCTTACCCCTAAAAATTATCTCTTTATTTTATTATTTTATTTATATAAGAATGTATTCATATATAATTCCTTTAATTTCTAGTCTTTCTATTAAAAAATTTATTCACTATTATTAATAAAATTTAATAAAATCTTAAATTTAAAATACCTCTCGTATTCGGAGAATTAAGCCCCGTATTCGTATTTCTTATCAAGGCACTAAATATATAAGCGAGCCTTACGAAAATCTCAAAAGCTCATTCTTACTTAAAATGGCCGCATTGAGATTAGTTTTAGCCTAAAGTATAAGATAAGTAGCTAGATAGAAAGCCTAAATTAAGGAGAATATTTATGCTACCAAAAATTTTCTTATAAGAGAAGTAGTTCGAAAGTTAATTGTGATTAAAGGGGAAAATTAGGTTCAGGGAATCGATACCTTACGATTCTGGCATCGATACCTATCGATACCGGAAATTTAGGTATTTTTGCCGAGCCTGGTCGAGGTTCTCTTTGGAGTAACGTAAATGTTTGAATTCTGCCCTCGTTGCGCTGGAGGGTGCTTCTTGTTCGATGGTGTCGATCGAAAATGAGGAGCAAATTGGAAAGCTATCTGATATCTATCGAGGTTTGAGGATTCTCGGCCAATAACTCTTTCTGCATCTTTGGATCCAGGTAGCGGTCGACATAACATGAACCCAACAAAATGAAGTGGGATTGCTCTGGACGAAGGAGCATTGGTGTCAGGCAGCCCTGGATGAGGCAAACCACATCATCTTCTTTTAACTCCACAAAACAGCCCGACCAAGTAAGTCCGATATCTCCACCCGTTGTCACGAAAGGAGTGTCACCGGAGAGCCGATTAGCCAAGTTATGAAGATAGCCAACAGTTTCATCCCCAAAAGTGAATCTCTTCTCGTCCTCTTCAGATAACAGATCTGGATGCATGAAAAGTTCAAAAATCCTGTGCTGGTCGCCAATCGGTCTAGGTAATGGGATTGGGTAGTTCTCGGTTGATGTAGTGACTGGAAAACCCAACTCTCCCAGCGGCGGCGAATGATGCATTAAAGTCCTTTTCCAGATCTCGGCTATATCTTGACTTTTTACATATCTCTTCCGAACAGATGTCGAATTTAGGATTTGCTCTTCCCATGATTTGAGAATTTTGTAAAGGGAGGTTGGACTTAGGTCTCGAAATCCGGGGCAACCCGAGCCAACTGTTGCAATGCGGCTAACGAGTATTGCGTTGGTGCGTAGTGTAAGTCCATCTCCGGGAAAGCCGATATCCGTAGGACTAAGAGTTGATGCGCCTTGGGGTAGAGAGCTCAGATTTGAAGCATCTGCGATGAATTGCACCTTTCCGGCCCAAGTTGGCACCCAAGAAGGGAGCTCATTAGGAAGTCCATCTAAGTCCCTGGGATGCGAAAAAACCAAAAACTCTGCACTCCGTAATTCGCTAAAGAGATATTTGGCAGACTTGATAAATACCTCGGTCGCGGTTGCGTTGTAGTCTGCCCTGAATCCTTGATAACCCGACTGCCCTTCCGCAAACCCCAAGAGAGAAAAGATTCTGTCTCGACGATCAGTCTCCTCAAACCAACCTCCAGTAAAAGAAAGCAGTGTGGCCAACAATCGCGCAGGATGACTTCCACTTAAAGTTAATAGTGAATGTGAAGATCTTATTACCTCAATGGTTGAAATTGACATAGCCCGCATTCGAATGAACGCCTCAGTGCGAGGGGGGAGCGAGGCGAGATTGGTCGTCAAGCAAAGGGCAACGTTCCGAAAGGCTCTCCAGGGCGTTCCACGAGAGCCACAAACAATTCTGACCCTGGAAATGTGCGGCAGTACTACTTCCTGTACGATCCAGCGACGCGAGAACCACTTTCTGGTCAGAAGGTTAAGAAAGGCCCGAAACCCGTCATCCCGATCAGGGTAACCTTGGCCAACGCTATGGGTTTTTATGGCCTGCGAGAAATCCCTATATGATGTATTTGCAAACTGTCGAGCGAAATCAAAAGCCATCTTGGTCCTTTCGGCTGATCCTCCCCAGTTGTCTTGAGTTTCTTCCATATCCATCCCCAGCCAAACTAGGACTTCTGTGGCGTCCTTATATATTGAGCCCATTTGAGCGAGTTGGACGTTCTTCTCTGCGACATCTGCCTGATTTATACACACGGCATCGACCCAGAAAGCCATAATTCCGTATTCGCTTCTGATATGTCGCAGGGCTGCTGCAAGGTTCTTCGTTACTAGATATTCCTGTCCGAATAGCTGGATCGGCACAGTGTCCCTTGGATTTCCCCATTCGTAAGACAATGCAACGTATTTGGGCTTGGAGGCAATTGGGACCTCGATAAGAAAGCCAGTGATATCATCGTTAAAGCAACCCGGCATCAGCATAAGGAGACGCAGTGTCGGTACTGTGGGCGAAAGTTGGGTGTACGGTGGTCCTGCGTATTCTGCATGTTCGAATCCGAACGCTGCATCGAGGTCCAGTTGTTTTGATAGAACCCAATCCGCAATAAGCGGATCTCTTTGATCAACTGTATGTGCCTCTGTACGTGCTTCTGTATGTTCTTTACTCGAGGTATTCTCTGTGGCTCGTGCCCTATGGTCGCGATTGGTCTGTTCGGTCATTGTTGTAGAAGGCAGGTCAGCAGTGAGTATCAAAAGGCATTGTAACCAAACAAGATTGATCAATTGCAATGCATTGAAAAAATTTCAGTTCAAGAAAACTCTACACACTAGCAGAGCGCGAAGGCTGAGGTGGCTATTATTGAACTAGCTTAATAAAGCTAGGGTCACGTGCGTGCAATATAAACCAAGTAATATTGAACTAGCTTAATAATAAAGCCAAGGTCACGTGCTTGCAATATAAACCAAGTAAAACGTAATGAATTAACTACTATTCTATAGTAATAAGTAGCCTGTATATATAGCCCTAAATTCCTTAAATTATATATATTAAATTCTTATATTAGCTAAACTAATTTTAGTTATATAAAGTATTCTAGCTATATAAGATATTTTAACTAGATAAAATATTAAGTTCTATTAATATATAACTATATAATATTTAGTTTTAGGATTTATTAAGCTTATTAAAAGCCTTAGGCCCCTAATTTTAATAAATAAAATATATTAAATTAATTACTATTCTATAATAATAAATAGTTTATATATATAGTTCTAAATTCCCTAAATTATATATATTAAATTTCTAAACTAGAAAGCCTTATATTAAACTATTTAATTTTAATTAAACTAATTAATTTTTATAAAATATATTATATTCTAAATTAATTTTATAAAATATAATATATTTAGTAATTATTACGAGTACGGCATTTAGGGCTTGGAAAGCAAGATAAAAGGTCTTTTATAAAGACGATTCAAAGCTAAGGAAGGGAAAACTAGAATATAGGAGGCTATAAAGAAGTATATATACCCTATAATATACTAGTCTCAAAGGGGCTTAGCCTTCTAAATATCTCTAGTATATTCCAAATATACTTCTATAATAAGGCGGCCATATTATATATATTTAAAAGATATCTGGTATCTAGTAAGGTATCTTAGATACCGGATATATGGGAATTATAATATTACCCCCCTTCTTTGGAATAAGCTCGTTCCCGAGCTTTATAAAAGCCATTAATTCATTTAATTTAGTATTATTTTCCTTTCTAAAATAAACTAGTATCTCGGATATAGATATTATATATAAAAGGCCGGGGCCTTTATTATATAATTTAGGAGAATTTATTATTATTTCCGTATAGTTCTAGATAAGTATTATTTTTTATATAGTCTAGCTAATATTATAGGTTTTATAGAGGTCCTAGTATATTAATATTATTATTATAGAAACTCTATAAAACTAGAGGGCTATTACTTAGTACCGAAGCTAGATACTATATTAGATTCTTATTCCAACTAACCTAATAAATTCTATACTTTAGCTTATTTCTTACTAGCTTAACTATAATAACCCGCTTAATGCCATATTCTTATTTACTATTCTCTAGTATTAATAGGGGCGGTTCCGGATTTATTTAACCTAGTAGAGAATTCTGGAAGTCTTTTTATAGCTTTTTTATATAAAAAACTAGGTATATTTTTATGGTTTCCGGTAATTTCAGGAGAAATAAATAGCTATACTATTCTAGAATCTTAAATAGGCCTTCTATTTAGTTCCCTAGCTTCCGGCTCGGATAATCGGATTTCTAGTACTTTATAGTAATCTATATTTTGTCCCCGACTTTGAAGTTAATTAGATAGTAATATTTATTAGCTTATACTATATATTATTCCTATACTTACTTTATATAGCCTTGGGTAAGTTACTATAATTTATATAATTAATTTACTAATACTTTAGCTTTATTTCTATTTAGCTTCTCTTTAGGTAAGTTAGCTTTAATAGAAGAGTTCTAGTCTAGTAAAATATAAGGCTTATAGCTCTTTTTAGTTATAAATAGGAACTAGCTAATAGTTTTATACTAAAGAGAGGCTTATTAATAATTAATTATAGTAATCTATTTATTCTAGTTATCCTAATAATAATTAATATACGGGTATAATCTTTAATTAAAGTACTAATTAATAATCTCTATTTATTCGTCTATTTAGGAGTAATTAGCTATAGAGAGCTTAAGCTTTATACTAATTCTTATATAGAATTTGCTCTAAAAATCGGATATAAATTAGAATCCCTAATCTAATATAATTATTTCTAGAATATTTACTTAGTATATTATATAAAATAAAAACAAAAATACTAGCTACTTGGCTATAATTATATCTTATACAGGAATTGTAATTAGATACTTGAATAAGTAATCTATAAATATAGTAATTATATTATAGCCCGATTTGCTTTCTAGATAGCTTTTAAAGTTTATAGTAATATATTACTAGAAATAATTAGGAACTAGAAGGAAATAAAGCAAACTAGGCTTCTTATTTCTAGATATATATAATCTCTTATAAATATAGTAATTACTATAGTATTAATTAATATCCTTATTTATAAATAGCTAGTAATATTACTTCTTTAATAGCTAATAGAGCTTTATATATCCAGAATATCCAGAAAGGGATTTATTATATACTTTATAAATTAGGGCAATTTATAAAGGTAATCTGGGAATTATTATATCCTCTATAATATAAAAGAAGGCTATTTTATAGTATCTAGATATTACTTTTGGCTTGGGCTATTATATATAGCTTCTCTAAATCTAGTAATATATAATTATCTTATAGGATCTTATTTATAAGTTATAAACTACTATATTTAGCGGGAGCCTTTAATAGTACTTCTATAGGGGCTATTATAGCAGAGTCTACTAGTAAAGCTTCTAAGAAAATACTTTTTTCTAGGGGAATTATATCTTTAATAGGGATATTTTTCTCTGGAAAATCTTTAGTATATATTTAGTTTTCAGGGCCGAATTCCGGATTAAGTAAGCCGACCTTATAGAATATTATTATAAGCTATAAGTTATAAATAATCTCTGGATTAATCTTATCTTTAGGAAAAAGTACTTGAGTTTATAGCTTCTTCTTAATCTAGCCCTAAATATTTACTTTATTTTATCTTTATAATAAAGTATCTATTTACTTATTTAATTTTCCAGAATAATATATAAGCTTAAAATAATAATAGAATAAGAGCTTAGCCTATCTAGCTTATTAAGAAAAGAGCTTTTTAGTAATTATAAAGTACTCTAAAATACGGTAATTAGAATAGACCTTAAAAGAAGTATCCTAAAGGCCTTCTAGCTTAGCTCTTTATTTCTCTAGTACTTATATTATAGTAAGTATCTCCTTATTATATATATTATAATTAAGCTTTACTAGAAATATAGTTTTAGAAAAATAAGTTATAGAATATTAAAGGCCTATTTCTGGGTCTTATTAAGAGAATAGGCCAGTAACTATTTCTTTAGATATATCTATTTCTATTATTATAAGTAAATCTAGGTTATAGTATTATAGAACTAGAATAGAAATTATAGCTTTCTTTAAATAAGTAAAAGCCTCTTAATATTACTTGAATTATTTAAAAGAAATATTCTTTTTTATAAATAAGGTAAGAAGTTTAGTAATTTATTTATACTTTCTAATAAAGTATTTATAAAAGTTATAGAAGCTAAGGAAGAACTATATATCCTTAATTATCTTTGGGAATTACTAGTTATATATTATTTTAACTTTATTAAGATTTATTTTAATACTAGATATAGAGATAATAAAGCCTAAATACTTTATATATATAACTTTGAATTCCGATTTCTTAATATTTACTTAGAGGCTAGTAAGATATAAGTAGTCTAGTATTTTTTATATGTATTATTTATGCTTTACTAGGTTTTCTAAATAAATAAGAATATTATTAAGATATATTATATAAAAGTTATCTAGATACTTAAAAAATATATTATTTATATAGTATTAATATATAGCCGGGCTATTTATAAGGCCTTTCTAGAGGATATTATATTTATATATTCTATAGTAAATATAAAATATTATTAGCTCCTAAGAGTTCGGGTTTATAGCTATATAATAGAAAGCTTAGTAAATATCTAATTTAGTATAAATCTTGGCTTTAAATAATTAATTTAAAGTCTTATTAATAAGAGAAAGGAAATATTAATTCTTTCGGATAATATTATTTAGGCGGCGGAAATTAATATAGAAATATAAACCTCTATTTACTTTCTTTATAAAAAAAACTAGTAAAGTAAAAGAAGCCTAACTAGCTTTAATAAAGTTCTTAGCCAGATTATCTTCTAAGAAATACTTGATTTCTAGAAGCTTTTAAGTAAACTATTACTAGAAAGATTAATATCTAATACTTTTAGTTCTTTTTAGGCCACTAGTGGGTATCAGAATTAATAGCATACAGACTACAGACCACCAAAAAGTTACTATCTTTATAATATTACAAATACACAATACTCTTATAAAATAAGCCAATTTCAAAGACCAGATTACCTTTAAAGCTAATAAATAGTATAAGTAAGATATATTAATAATTAGGTTATAGAATATTTATAAAGGTTTAGTATTATTATATCTTTAAAGTAGACTAGAATCTTACCTATAAGGCGAGTTTAAGTATAAATTATAATTAATTAAAATAAATAAGAGAGTATATTTCGATTATAATCTAGAAAGATAGATTGATTTTACTTTACGTTGTGACTTTATATTTTCTTAAAGTCGGTAACTTTGGTTGAATTTTAATAAGGATTTCTCGCGTGTGCTATTAATTCTAATACCTACTAGTGGGCCTTTAATCTAAATCTTATAATTATATAATCTATAGAAAAAAAGGATATTAGATTTCTTTTTAGAGAAAATAGAAGTATATTTCTTAAATTCCGGGAGTAATATTTTCTATAGCTACTAAAGTTTTATTTCTTCTAATTATTAATTCTCTG